TTGACTTATACTTTTGGAAAGCTTTGTAAGGTATTTTCTTCCTCCTTCAGGGCTTAATTTTTACAATTAAAAAAGTGCCGAAACCCTACACAGAAGGCCGAAGGAGGGAAAATATAAATAAATAAAATGGCTAATAAAATTATAAACTAAAAAATAATTAAAATAATTAATTAAATTAAAATTCAATAAAATGTAAAGAAATAAATACAAATTCTATAAATTATTCAATTAATGATAAATAGTTGAATAAAAAAATGTATTTGATTTCGTCTTATTTGGGGCTGACTCTGACTGGAATTAAAATTTCCTTCAGAAACTAAGAAATAGCTCAGCCGGTTACAAGCTAGATTTAAGTTTTGAAAATACAATATAACGTTCTATTTCAAGGGATAATACAAATGAAAACTATTCTTTTTCTAGCACACCAATGGAAAAAGGTAAAACGATGCAAACATCAGTAATGCGAACAGAGAGAATGCTATAAACAGTAAAAATGGAAATCTTTCTATATTCTTATACTGATTCAGAAGTCAAAGAACAAAAATCAGCGTTACACTCTCAAAATTTTCACAGGACCAGCCTCGATGGTTTTACCGAACCACCATCCTCAGCTGAAAAACCGCAGATGCATTTGCGGTTTTGCAGCTGAGGATGGTGGTTCGGTAAAACTATCGAGGCTGGTCCTGTGAAAATTTTGAGAGTGTAACGCTAATTTTTGTTGTTTGACTTCTGAATTAGTGTTTGTTCGGCGTGTTATTTTGTCTTAATTATTCTAATACCGTTTTTAGCTTTCTCTCGATTCACATTTGTGAGAGAAAGCCGAAATTATTAAATTTTTTTACCCGACATTTTAACGGAGATGTGCATCTCCGAAAACAAAGAAGAGTCCAGCACTTTCTGACTTTGACATCCAGCCTATATAATTCTAGCTGTCAAACAGAATGAGACAGGGGGAAATAGTTTCACCCAAATCCGATCCGATAACAATATGAGAGTAAACGTAAGGCTGTATACAAGCGACAGTTTTCGTCTCCCTAATTTGGTTACATCGTCCAAAAAGTCTGCAGAGCCATTTCAGTGGGAAGTCACTAGAGCTGGACGTCTATGACCAGGGTATCACTTAATATTTTCGGGAACGAAAAATTTGCCCGTTCTCATAAATTTATTGTACTTCCTGGAGAATATGCCTTTGACATGTGGATGGAGGAGAGGGGGGCTTTTTCTCCCTTAAAGTCCCAATATGCGTCAAAGTGTTTGTTCCCCAAAGAATGACAGGTATGCATTGAGAAGTTAAAATCGATTTTTTAAGACATATTTATTTTTAAAACACAATTTGTCCGCTGAAATTGTGGTCCACTCCGGCTAGATTAACGATTTACCTCAAAACCTGAAAAGTACCGAAGCAAAGGTCCGGCGCAATTTAAACTTTGCCATCTTTACTGTGTAGCTTCCCGATGTAACTGGAAGCATGTCCGGCTAGCAATCGGGAGGTCAGGAGTTCGAATTCCGCCAAGGATATTGCACGTTTTTCACATCTTCTGCTCCAAAATAAAATTCCTAGTGGTTTATAAAGCTTAATGTATGCCTTTAAATAAGAGTTAGCTCTTTCTTTACAAAATGTTAAGCACTCTAATTGTCATTTTAAATGAGGAATTTTATTGATAATATCGATATTATTTCGCGTTATTGACCTTCTGTATAACAGGTTGTTATTCACACACATTATATGAAACTTCAGTTAACATTTAAATACGGTAACTGGTATTATTATTATTATCGCTGAATTTTTCATTGTATTTTATTATCAGTTTTATGGATAAAACTTATTCCAGTGGCAGAGTAATTTTTTTAATTGCCTTTCTATCTTTCGAAAAAGATATACAGTTACACACACACGCCAAAAAGAAGAGGGGGCATCTTACATATTCAGTGATTGTGAAGAAAACTTGCTTGTGTGGGTTAACCATGGCGCCAGCAAAATGGGTGGTAGCACGTATGAGGGTATTAAACTATCAGATTATCATATTGTGGTGTAATGGCCGAAACCGCTATGCAAAACCTGGGTTGTGACATCAGGTTCAAAACAAAACACATCATAATAAAATTTATTGAATGCTAAAAAAATGGCTACATACAATTCTGCAGAGAAAAAAACCTATCTATATCAAAAAATCAAATTCTATACATTTTACGTGCGAGAGCAATTCGTGGTTCTCGAGCTTGCGTTTTTAACATTGCCAACGATTTAATTATTTTAATAAAGACTATTTTAACAACTATTGAAAACGTGTTTGTAAGTTAAAAAATAATAATTTTCAGCTTATTCTCACGTGACATTCTTGTCCATATTAATCTTCAGTCTCTTCTTCTTTTATGTAACCTTATCACAGCTCCTCCCCTCATAAAGAAAATTCTAAAAACATTTCACTGCTTTCAAAACACAAGTGGTAACCATTTAAGTGATAATAGAGAAGCCAGTTACATTACCCTGCACTTTTTTTAGATAACATAAATGCAAAAATACAACAAAAAAGATTTAAATTTTGAATCTACACAAAGTACCTTTTCAGTTTACAAAATGCTAATACTTAAACATTTCATTCTAACCATTTTGAAAATGAAACACACAATGCAAACAAATTTAAATCTACAAAAATATAATTCCAAAACGCTACAAAAATCATTTTTCAAACAACAGTTTACAGAACAAAAAGGATTGGCTCCTCCATATACTTCATATGCTAAAGTTCCTGCTGTCCGTAGATCTGATCTCGAATAATAAATCACTGAGATAGGACCTCTTCAACATTTACAACTATATTTGGATGAGGTCCCAATTTCTTTTTCCTGACTTTACGATTTGTCAGTTCATCCAAAGAAAACTCGCCAATGGCTGGTAATGTCTCCTTATACATTGCACGCCATATAGCATATGCATTTGATTCAGCATTATAATTGAACATCATTTTTACAGCAAGGTTATTTGGAAGCAATTTCTCAGAAGAAAACGTCTTGATAGAAGTAGGTTTTTCGAATATCGAATTCTGCAGATCTTGTGTTCCTTCAGTATGCGATATAATAAATTTTGTTTGGTGTTGAACATTATCATGAGTTGTAGTTGCTTGTGCTTTCGAGAATTCTGCTGGCGAAACATCCGCAAGGATAGACCTTTCTTCTAAACTGATGTCTGCAATTTTAATTGGTGCTACTTTGGTAGACGGTTGCACGGATTTTTGGCGATTTACGTTGGCGCAATTATTGGCGCGATTTCTACAAACGTCAGCCATCTTGAAAAACGCCTGTTAGCGGATGGAAAGTAGACACAAACGTTCGTTATTGCGTTTATTAGACTGTGTGAAGAACAAGTTCGTACAATAGATATACAAGTAGTTCGGCGCTCGCAGGCGCCCTCTTGCAGGGAACAAAATCAAAATTTACATAAGGCGCGAACATGCCGCCCACCTTGAAATACTATTTCAACATTTAGTGGTTAAAATTCAGTAAATTTAAAACACAATACAATATTAAAATTATGATATAATACTTAATTTATAATACATGAATTAAACTCAAATTGGTAATGGACACAATTTTGTAATATTTCTTTTAACCATGCCATCTGAAGTCTTAATAGTCACAACCCTAACAACACTATCAAGACCAGGATGTAACTGAGTAATTCTACCCATTTTCCATTTAGTTGGAGGTAAGTTATCCTCCTTTATGAGACCCAGATCATTAACTTGAAGATTTTTAGTTGGCAAAAGCCATTTTGGTCTTTGTTGTAATCGACACAGATATTCTTTGTGCCAACGCTTCCAAAATTGTTGAACCATTTTTTGAATATGTTGCCATCTGGTGAGATGGGAAACTTCAATGTAATTTGGTTCAGGAATGCTTGTTAATGATCTACCAATAAGAAAATGACCAGGCGTTAATGCTGACAAGTCATTTGGATCATTAGACAAACTTGTTAAAGGTCGCGAATTAAGACAAGCTTCTATTTGTGTGAGAAATGTTTCAAATTCTTCATATGTCAATCTCGCCTCACCAACTACTCGTTTTAAATGGTATTTGTTGATTTTATGCCAGCTTCCCAGAGTCCATCCATATGTGGCGCACCTGGAACGTTTAGATGCCATTTAATGCCATTATCAACCAAATATCTGCTAACACGTTTTGGTTATAAGTTGCAAGACCTAGCAAGCCTTTCAAATTCCATCAGTTTGCGTTTTGCTCCAACAAAATTGGAACCACAATCGCTATATATATCACTGCTTTTGCCTCTGCCGGAAATGAACCTCTTAAGAGCTGCAATAAAAGCATCTGCTGAAAGATCAGTCACTAATTCTAGGTGAATAGCTCTTGTCGTAAAACAAACAAATAGAGCTATATATGCCTTGAATGACCTAGAGCCTCGACCCTTATTTGCTTTAATTTGAAAAGGACCTGCGTAATCCACTCCACAGCGCAAAAACGCAGGAGCAGGCGAAACGCGACTAGACGGCAAATCGCTCATCAATTGATTAGTGACAGATGCTCTAATTTTGCAACACTTTATACATTTCCTAACTAAATCTCTGATAACAGCTCTACCATTTATGATCCAATATTGTTCTTGAATGCAAGATTGCATAAGTTGTGGACCTGCATGCAAAAGCCTTTCATGGTAATGTCTAACAATGAGATGAGTTAAAATGTGCTTCTTTGGAAGCAAAATTGGATGCCTAAAACCATATGCAAGGTTTGCATGTCGCAAGCGACCGTCCACCCTGAGAATACTGACTAAATTATCTAAAAATGGATTCAAAGATAAAATTTTGCTTGTACCAGATAATGATTGATTTCTGCCTAAAGTGTTAATTTCATTCTTAAATTCAACATATTGCATTAATTTAATTAACACATGCATAGCTTTAGTTAATTCACTTAGTTTTTAAGAAATCCATTTACCTGATCTTCTGAATTTTTACAGTTATTTACAAACCTCAGACATAATGCTACAACACGTTTAAGTTTAGTGAGAGAAGGAATATTATATAAAATAAATCATGAGCGTCTGTCAAGTGACTGGCAGCAGTTGTAGACTGTAAAGCACATCTTTGCTCTGGCACAGAATCATTCAGTAGTGGTGCAGATAATGCTTGCTTAAAAGGAAATAAATTATACAATAAATCTGGACCACGTAACCACAATGAAGTAACCAGTGCAGATGATAACACACCACGGGTTGCAAGATCAGCAGGATTAGCATTTCCACTCACATGATGCCACTGGACAGGAGAGGATAAAGTCTGGATTTTTGCTACTCTGTTGGCGACGAAGGTCTTCCATCGGCTTGCATGAGATCTTATCCAGGCTAATACAATAGTGGAATCAGTATGAAAATAAACTTGCGATATAGGAGTATTTAAAGCCCTACCGGTGAAATCCATTAATTTAGTCAACAGTAATGCTCCACAAAGTTCCAATCGGGGAAGTGATATGGTTTTTAGTGGTGCAACTCTTGTTTTGGCTATCACTAACTGAACATTAATTTGTCCAGTATCTAACACAGAACGATAATAAATTGCAGCGGCGTAGGCCTTCTCTGAGGCGTCACAAAACCCGTGCAGTTGAAACTGGTTATCTGATTCAACCAACAAGAATCGTGAAATTTTGATACTTTTAATAAATAACAAATCTTCTGTAAGTTGTTTCCACTCACATTCAATATCTGGAGGAACCTTTTCATCCCACTGAAACTGATGTTTCCACAATCTTTGCATAATCAATTTATACCGAACCGTGATCGGTGCCAACCATCCAAGAGGGTCAAAGGTCTTTGCGATTATTGAAAGTAATGTTCGTTTGGTTAAGACTTCAGGATATGATGAATTGACTTTGAATAAAAACATATCTGAAGCTGGATGCCACAGGATACCTAACGTTTTTACAGTATCATCATTGTCTATGTTCAAAGAAACATTTGATAAGCTCAAATCTGGATTAATTGAATTCAAGACTTCTTTGCTGTTAGAAGCCCATTTTCTTAGAATAAATCCTGCACGTGACAGCATCTGATTCAATTGCATTTGTAATTTTATAGCTTCAGTAACTGAACTGGCTCCGGACATCAAATCATCAACGTAGAAGTCCCTAAGACATGTCTTGGAAGCCAAAGGAAAATTAGTTGCTTCATCTATGGCTAACTGCTGTAAACATCTTACCGCAAGGTACGAAGCTGATGCAGTACCGTAAGCAATCCTAGTTAATCGAAAATCCTGAATTGGTTTATAAAGTGAATCGCGCCAGACTATTCTCTGAAAGTCTGCATCTTTTAGTATAATTTGTCTGTACATTTTCTCTATATCTGCAGTTATAGCTATTCTGTGAATTCTGAAACGAATAATTAATGTTGTCAGATCAATCTGCAACTGTGGACCAACCATCAATTTCTCATTAAGAGAAATACCGCTAGAAGATTTTGCAGAACCATCAAATACGACTCGAAATTTATCACCATTTTTATCCGGAACTGAATGGTGCGGAAGGTAAAAACTAGAATTAGCTGGAACATCAATTTCATTTTCTGGAATCAATTCCATATGACCAAGTCGTTGGTTGATAGTCCTCCATAAATTTGTGATATTGACTGGAAAGAGATTTATTCTTAATAAATTGACGTTCAATGCTTTGTAAACGATGTACAGCAACATCCCTTGATGACCCAAGTTCATTTCCCGATCTACGAAATGGAAACTTAACAACAAATCTACCTGTTGAATCACGAGAAAAATTCCGCTTGAAATGATTTTCACATTCAATTTCCTCTTCTGTGTAATGCTTTATGTCCGAAATTTCTTCCAATTTCCAAAATTTTTCAAGCTGGAGCTGAACATTGGTACAACTAGCATGATTCGATACAATTGTCTGCGATACACTCTTAGTCTTTCCGATAATGACCCAGCCGAATATTGATTCCAAGGCTGTTAACGAATGACCCGGAACAGTTAAACGTCCATGAAGCATTATCTCGCCAAATACATCTGCGCCCAAAAGAATATCTATTGGGCCAGGCTGGAAACAATTTGTATCTGCCAACCACAAATGTTTGAAAGATGTCAAAACATATCTATCAACTTGATAGTGAGGGAGGTCACACGTGATCTTGGGTATAATTAATGCATTAACTGAAATGCTTGCGTTTTTATAAAATGGAGATGTTACTTGTAATTGAACTGAACCTGAAACCTTTCCAATTTTTTGCGAGCTCAGGCCATTTACACTTATGTTTGCACTAGTGCGCTTTAACTGCAGTAAATTTACACAGTGCTCTCGAATAAATGAGCCCTGGCTACCTGAATCAATTAGCATCCTGCATTTTTGTAAATCGCCATTAATATCTTAATAACATAAACAATCGCAGTAGGCAATAAAACTGCTTGCGCAACAGGCACCGTGGCGTTATTGCTACTAATAGCAGAAGTTCCGTGTTCCATGGGTATATGACATTTTTCATCATTTGAATTTTTTCGAACATAACACTGTATTATGTGGCTTTGAACAATATTTACACATTCCTGCACCACATTTAAAAATTGGATGCGTTTTACTATCTTTCAAACAATTAGCACATAATTTATTCCTTTTAATAATATCCCATTTTTCTTTGATAGGGAGTTCTAAAAAAACTATCACATTTAAATAACTGAGAATGAGAATTACTCTTACAATGAACGCACACATTAGCCACAAGTTGGGACGAAAAAGCGTATCTGCTACCTGAACCGCGAGTTTTAATTTCAGAAGGCAAAATTGACTTCTCCCTCTGGCACTTCGCCAAAGAGGCAATAGCATTCGCTCTGTTTAAAATAAAACGCTTGAATTCAGCGAAAGCAGAAATTTTCTTGTTCGAATGCTCCATCGTCCACTCTTTTAGTGTTTCATGATCAAGTTTCCCTTTTAACAGAAAAATAATCATAGTATCCAATGCTCTACCGGCTGTTTAAGGATTTTTAATGTATCAATACACTGTTGTGTTGTATCAATTAATCTCCGCAAACCTGAAGCTGATTCCTGTTTTAGAACAGGTTGTGAAGTTAATTCATTTAATGCTGCGTTTATTATTTCTATTTCGTTTTCATAACGTTCAGTAAGCGCTTCCCATGCCTTTTCATAATTCGCGTTTGAAATTTGAACTGATTGTAGTAAAACAGCAGCTTCACCTTTCACAGAAAGCCTAAGATACTGCAATTTTTGACTGTCACTTAATGTACTATTATTTCCAACACTGGCCAGAAATAAATCCCTAAATGATATCCAGTCAACATAATTAGAAGTAAACACTGGCAATTCCACGCGAGGAAGTTTCAAGCCGTTTGCATTAGCATTTATTATATCTTTTCCTGAATTACTAAGTTTTCTTGATTCTTCCTTTAAAGTAATTTTTAATACATCTAATTTGGAAAATAGTTCATGCATTTCTATTTCATATTTACTAAACTTCAACACTTAATGCACCAACATCATTTTCGTACACTTCAATGGCAGAAAAAGAATTTTCTTGATTTTGTAAACCATTTACTTGTGAAATTAAACGAGTCAACTTACCCTTAATAATTCGCTTTTGCTTTAAAATCGACTCCATATTCCTGCTGCTGTTTTCACAATCCAGACAAAATATAAATCCGTTTTCCTTACACGAAATGTCCTCCTATACCAGAACGTTAAAAATTGTCTTGACACATCATCCAAAGAAATGCGCTGGCTCACGACGGACCATGTTAGCGGATGGAAAGTAGACACAAACGTTCGTTATTGCGTTTATTAGACTGTGTGAAGAACAAGTTCGTACAATAGATATACAAGTAGTTCGGCGCTCGCAGGCGCCCTCTTGCAGGGAACAAAATCAAAATTTACATAAGGCGCGAACAACGCCGTTTTTACGCATAGTAAAGTATTCGAAACTTAAAAAAAATAAATAAATAAATAAATATCGTTAGAAATAATGGATTAATTTTTTTGTTGAAAATGTCGTTTTTTAAGATGGCAGGCAAGTGTAAATAAATACATTTACTATGAGTATAAAATACTAAAGTAAGGTTATTATTACTTTCATATAGCAAAGAAGAGAATAAAAACACCGCTATAAAAACATTGTGCCAACGTTTAATTAGATTAAAATATTACTGAAATTGAATATCGAAATAAAAAATATCATCCAACATTTAAAAGAATTAGAATATTATTAAATTTAAATACTTTAAAATACGTTATATATAAATATATATAATATATATATATATATATATATTATATAGAATAAATACATTTACTACGAGTATAAAATACTAAAGAAAGGTTAAATTATTACTTTCATACAGCAATAGAAATAGAATAAAAATACCACTATAAAAACATTGCGCAAACGTTTAATTGGATTAAAATATTACGTAAATTGAATATCGAATTAAAAACCATCATACCAACGTTTAAAAAAATTAAAATATTACTTAAATTAAATACTTTAAAATAAGTAAATAAGAACGCTTCGTACACTAGAGCTAAAATGACAGCAATTAGTTTATTGTCGGTTAAAAAGGAGGAATGTCTAATAATTTTCTTACCGTTACAGCGGTTATTTCTTCCAACATGGCCACAATATCATACGGCAATCTCAGAATCCGCTCTTCTAACGGTCTTCGTCTGTGATCTACATTTTCGCACTTCATTGAAGAAACAATTAGCGACGTTTCCTTCAAAAATTTAAAATAAATTTCCTCTGATCCTTGTAAGAATTTATAAATAAATCTTTGATTAGGAAAGCCAGGCTGGCGAAAATAAGATCTCAAAGGACAATTTTTTGATTCCGAAACCAAAAATTCTTGGTACTTATCAAAAACAACATTCATCTTTGAAGGAGACATTTTTGAAGGAATTCGAAGATATGAATTAAATTTTAAAATGGCGCGGTAATGCACAAATTTTCAGCAACCTATCAGGGAGCTGATTACAGCTCATTAATGCACAAATATTCTAAAACCAATCAGAAAGCTGATTACATCACGCCTAGAATTAAAATTATTTATATAATCATACATAATAAAATCATTTTAAAAAAGAAATGCAAAATTAAATTGTATTTTAATATTTAACAGCCATAAATGTTTAAAACATTAGATTAAATTTATAGATATTAAAACCAATTACTTTTAAAGTAAGGTGACGTCACTGATTACATCATCCACAGCATAAAATTTCATAAATATGATAAAGAATAAAATTTTTATTTCAAAAAAAATGCAAAATTAAATTGATTTTTAATATTTAGAAGCCATAAATAATATTTAAAACACGGAATTTATGCATAATAACACGCATTATTTTTTAAATAAAATGTCAACAAAGTATCGGTTACCATAAATAACTTATCCAGCAATGGGTTTACCATAAGTCCTATTACTCACCAAAAGAAAAATTGCCAAAAACTCGCCAAAATCCGTGCAACCGTCTACCAAAGTAGCACCTTTTAATTGCCTCCTCCGTATTACTGGTTAAATTCCTTTCTTCTGAATGCTCATTATTGACGGCCCTTTCATTTGCTATCTCTTTCTTTTCTTCCGATCTGGAATCTAAGTCTTTTGCACTCTCTCTCTCTAAACTCCTGCGCGCATGCGCCTGACTACGAGTCTCCACAGCATTCAAAAGAACCGGTCGTTCCCTAATTTCCTCAATCAACTGTGCAGTTTTATTCCCTAACAAATAGTACTCTTTATCTAACTCTACCGGAGTAACCGCTGCCTTTGTAGTGACCACATCAAAATCACCTTCAATGGTGACTTTCGCCAAAGGTAAACATTTACATTCTGTGTCCAAAGGCTGTTTCACCCATACAGTTTTCCCTAATAAGTCATTAGTATTAATCCAAGTACTATTACACAGATCTGTTCCAGCTGCAGTATTTCTTAGATATTCTCTCTCTATCCCATTAATTACTGCTTTCTTGAAATACGGCTCAAAACATTTTCCTAAACTCTCCGTTCCTAGATTATTCACCAGATTAGCCTTATTCTTTTCCAGCGAAGGAGAGTTAGGTCGGATATGTCCGTCCTTTCCACATTGGTAACACCTTATTTTCCGCCGTTTCTCGAAACCTGCTTCATTGAAAACTTGCTTTTTTTTAGGAGCCTCCACTTTTCTATGCTCCTCTGATTTAATTCTGTGATGACCACTACTTTTCTGATTATAACTACAGTTAGAATTTACATACCGCTCTCTATCTTTCTCAAATGGTTTCTTTAACCCCGCTCTCTGTTCTAACTTCCTCGTATCTCTTCGCAAAGCCTCATACTTGTCGCATTTCTCTGCTAAAATGGAAGTTGTTTTAAATTCTTCCCAATTGTCTAAGTAGTGCTCTCTTATTTCTAGAGGGACTCGCCGCTTAATTTGCTCAGTGAGCATAAGTTCCTTAAGACTTTCAAAATCTTGAACTTCTACTGAATCCAACCAACTCTCTAAATACACTCTCAATTCATACACTAAATCCACCCATAACATTCCGTTTTTTCTAGAATGTTCTTCAAATTTTGTTTTTAGTGCCCAAGAACTAAGCTTGAATCTCTGCATGAGTAATTTCTTAATGCAATGAGTAATTTCTTAATGCATGAGTAATTTCTTAGTAATGCTGATAATCATTCCCTTTATCCGCTGGTTCTTTCACTATTAACTGGCCTACATCGTAAGGTAATAAAGGAATTAATTGCGAGACCCAATCAATCTCATTAACGTTCTCTCTTTGAGTTTGTTTCTCAAATAGCATAAAGAATAATGAAATATCTATATTACTCGGTTCAAAACGCGGTACTAGATCTTTCAAATTAACCTTTTCTTCTCTAGATTGTTCAACTTTCGAAACCGTGGAAGCTAGGCTATTAGTCTGAACCACATTCATCAGTTTTAACCTTTCCAATTCAAAAACTCGCTCTCGTTCCCGTTCCGCTCTCTCTTGTTCACGTTCCCGTTCTGCTCTCTCTTGTTCACGTTCCCGTTCTGCTCTCTCTTGTTCACGTTCCCGCTCTGCTCTCTCTTGCTCGGCTTTTTCTTCTGCTTTTCTCTGCTCAGCCGCAGCCCAAATTCTTGCCGCGTATTCTTTCGCAGCTTCTTCTTCATAGTCCTCGGCATTTAGAATAGCCTGCCTAATTTCTCTTACTCTATTTGCCTGAGACACATTTGTTTCAAACTCCTCCGCTAACTCCAATAGCAGAGCTTTAGTAAATTTCCTCATAAACTCACCCATTATGGAAAATTAAAGAAAAATAACCTACCCCGAAAAACAATAATACAAAAACAACAACAGGTCTATCTCTCCAAAACTGAATAATTCCCTAACAATTCTGAACGCAAATTTGCCTTACAACACTTAATGATAATACCTATGCCTACAAACAAAGCGTATATAAAAAAAATGCTAATTAAGAGGCAACCGTTTTCCTGCTCTATATCCAAATATAAGCCTAGTCTCGAATAACTGGCATAACCTCTTTCCAAAATCACAAAAATGGTACTCACCAATTTTGAAGACGCCTTCGATTGACTCTTCCTGGCATTACTTGGATATTCTTCCGGGAAATTTCACTATTTTGCGGCACTAGATCACGCTCCAGCGTTCCCGGTGTTCCCTTCTGACACACTGTCACTTGTCACTGAAGAGGCTTCACCACGCGAACTGTCCTCGCAAGCAAAACTAGATCGTTCTTGAAGAGAAGAAAGTCTTTACTGTTCACATAAAACTCAAGTTCACAGGCGAAAATGCCCGTTCCTAAATTTACTCTCAGGAACAATCCCTAAAAGCTGCCGCCAACTTTTAATATTTACTGCTGTGGTGTAGAACCGCTATGCAAAACCTGGGTTGTGACATCAGGTTCAAAACAAAACACATCATAATAAAATTTATTGAATGCTAAAAAAATGGCTACATACAATTCTGCAGAGAAAAAACCTATCTATATCAAAAAATCAAATTCTATACATTTTACGTGCGAGAGCAATTCGTGGTTCTCGAGCTTGCGTTTTTAACATTGCCAACGATTTAATTATTTTAATAAAGACTATTTTAACAACTATTGAAAACGTGTTTGTAAGTTAAAAAATAATAATTTTCAGCTTATTCTCACGTGACATTCTTGTCCATATTAATCTTCAGTCTCTTCTTCTTTTATGTAACCTTATCACAACCATCCCAAGGCTCTTAGCTCATAGCTTGAATACAGTTACCTTACCTTTCCCGAGGCCCGGTTTACCGCGCCTCTCTATCAGCTGACTCGTCTCCATGGCAACCATCCACGCTCTCTGCGTTCCGGTTGCCTCTCCATTGTATCCGAGCGCAAGCAGTTGACTCGCGACGGGGGGCTAATCGCCTTCAATTGTGATCAATGCTTGTTCTCTCCTCCTGTGTCCAAACAAGAGGGCTCTCTACGATTCTTGATTTTTAGCTAATCTGCTTCTTTCGATTACTTTAGCTACTGCTTTCTCTTATTCATTTCATTTTTCTGAACGAAGATGTGGAGGTAATTGCATTTAATTGCAAAGGTACTCCGTAATTCAAACGCCTTGGTCCTTATCACAATATCTTGAGGTTTTCGATTTTTTACTGGTTCATTTCCAGAGAAAGTTGCTAAATTATATTTGTAAAATTACTCACATGATGATTTTATTAAGCTTATCTCTAGTCTAAAGATATTGTGTTTTCGCCGTTGAAAGATATTGTGATGCTATGATTACATATTATGATGATTTTACCAAGCTTATCTCTAGTCGTAAGTCTAAAGATGTGTTTTCGCCGTCTACAGATATTGTGTTTTCGCTGTTGCAGTTGGCATCGATGTTCCACACGAATTCTATATCTTGATACAAATTTTGTTATACTATTGGATGAAATACTTTCACTGCATCAGTGGTAAGAATAAATTACTCAAAGAAATCTGTTATTTGAACTTAATGAGTATTTTCATCTGGAATTAATTCAAGCGATACTTTTTATTTAGTTCTCACTTTGGATTACTTCGCATAACTCTTGTTTTGCCCTTGTTTGGGTTGCTCTTAGTTTAAGCTACCATTTCGGGCCGGGTTGAAAAAATAAAATTTCTAATTTGTGAAGGAGTTACAAGATGCTCTAAACAACATGAGATAAAAACACAGTTTTATGTTCTCTTTTCTTATTTCCGATTCAGATGAAAATGATACGGTAAGTAAATATTTTCCACATGACACTGTTAACAGTTATAATAAATAAACTTTTAGAAATCTTAAAGATAGTCAGGTCAATTTAGATCATATAATTTTAGATTCAAGAAATATACTCTCTGAAATCAACCCAAGTTCATTGATGATTAACTGAAAGGAAAATCATTCTTTTTTAGGCCCCGTTCAAAATAGAATTGTTTTTCGGAAGAATAGCAAAGGAAGATCATATTTTGGAATAATTAGATATATGAGAAGCAGCGAAAATTATGAAAATGTATCCAATTGTAAAAGAAAGTCAGAAATAATTTAAAATCATTATTGAAAGAAGATCATATTTAAAAATAGAAAAGAAGTAAAAAAATCATATTTTGGAAAATTAAGTCTATGTAGTATGTGAAATTACGAAAATGTATCTGTCTAAAAGGGGGAGGGAGAAAGAGTAAAAGAAAGTCAGCAATAGTTAATAGAAGAATAAATATTAAAAGATCATATTTAATAACATAGAAACAGAAAAAAAAATCTTATTTTTAGAATAATCAGACCTTTAGGAACTTGTGGATTATTTGAATACAGCAAAACATATTAAGGCTATCTGCCTAAGATTCTAGAGTCATTAGATGTGTCGGGGCAAGAAATTCCTATGCAGTGCTATGCTAAATATGCAGTGCCCTAACCGGGATTCGAACTTAAGATTTTCCGACTTCCAGACGGACGTGCTTCCAGTTACCCCGAGGACACTCAGAAAGGAGGGGAAAAAAATTCCTTACAATTTTTACACGTGAACGGCAATTTGGTAGAAGGGAAGCCTGTCGTCAAGTCCTGGTGGTGAAGAATTATGATCTACGACATTTTAGTTCGGACGCTACTGTAGAGTCATTAGGTTCGTCGAAGTCAGTAATATGAAAAATGTGCAATGCCTTCGCTATGATTCGAACTCCTGATTCCTTGCCGGGCGTCCTTCCAGCACACCAAGAAGGCACGCGGTAAGGAGGGATAAATGACTTATTGGTATAGAAACGAGTTAAAATTATAAAAATGGTTAGAATATGACAAGAATCTTGGAAACGAAACTTCAATGCCTATTAAATATACCTATAAATACTATTTTATAGACTATTTTTGAAATAATTACAAATCTTTTTCTGAAATTTTTATTTGTGTTTTTCAATAAGCGTGTTTTGTCGTCGAGAAAAAGATATAAAGAATTTTTTTATTTAAAATTACTCCATCATTTCATAATTTCATAACCCTTCATTTTCATAACTTTCATTTATGCATTTCATAATTAGCAAAGATAACTCAGTTCTGACTTTTCATATATCCATGATCCTTTGCAGGACCTGCGAAGAGAAAAGAAAATCAGTACCAGAATCAGCAACAGAAAGCACAAACAGATTTTGCTTTTGATAATCCATATTTCAAGGAACAAGAAGGAGATGATGGAGAAACTGTAGACAAAGGTGAGATATTCAGCATTTTAGAAAAGTTGGATTTCATCTTAATATAAAATTAGCAGTTTCATGTGCAGATGAAAATTATATCTCTTATATTTTTAAAATAAACTATGTACAATACTTCTGACTAAAAAAAAAAAAAAAAAAAAAAAAAAATTCCTTGCCTTTAATTTGCACAGAAAGGAAAATTATTTAAAAAAGATTATTTGACCTCACAGTATTGATTTACAGTCAAAATAGACTTTCCTTTTAAATACTAATATTATAAAGCAGTTATCGCTTAAGTCTTTGGCGACTAAAGCTCAAGAACCGCTTTAAAAAAGAAATGCCAAAATAAATTACATCTAGCTTGTTTTAAATCTAATGTTTTATCCTGTGTTTAAATCTAATGTTTATAAATCTAATTGTTTTAATCTATGTTTAGAACTGAAACTACATATTTTGACATTTTACCTTCCATTTACTGTGCTATCTAGAAAAGGAAATTAAAGATACTGTTGCAAATATTGCAATCCTTTATTTTGGTTTTCTGTACTGTTGTAATATATTCTATTGTTTTACTTATGTTTTCATAATGGTAATTTTTTTGCTTATTTTGAGTTTAACGTAATTTGTGGCCTTATCTCTTGTATTTAAGTGTATATATGTAGCATAGAATTATAGATCTTTCACTTCTGAGTGAAACAGTTTTAGAATTGTAAAAACAGCTCATCTCGAGATATAGTCAATTTCGTTCCTGAAGAGCATTTCGCCAAGTTGCAATTTTTTATTAATTTCGTGACTTTTTGCAAGATTTGCGAAAACACATTTTGAATCCCTACAACCAATTTTTTCTGAAGTTTCCAGAGCCCCTGCTACAGAATATAAATACGGATCGGAGAGCTGGGCAGTTCATTTGTGAATAAGTAGAGATTTTACTGTGAGAATTAGTGGCTAACTGAATTACAAGCTAGGGTTTAACCTGAAGGTGATTTGAGAAACTTCACGATTTTTCGTACGGAGAAATTACTAAATATACCCGTTCTCCTTCAGTAATTTACAGCCATTAGTGTGCTGTACGTGCTACTTATTGTACTTATTTTTCTAATAAATTGCTTATTTCATCTTGTTTATCTAGATTATTATTTAAAGAAACATTAACGATACCGTAGCTCAGAACAACTAGTGTCAGAATTTTCGATTTCATTGAATGCCAGTAATCAGAAAGATGGGAGGACAGCTGAGAACTATAATGGAAATGATCGCTGCAAGTTCCGTCAAGATGAACTCTGTCAACGGAAATGCCGCTGAACTCAAGACAGAAATAAAGGCCTCGATAAGAAGCGAATGTTGCAGAAATGAAGACGTCCATCTAAGCAAATGCCGCTGAGTTGAAGGAGAGTATTTTCGCGGTCTAAAGGAAAATCGTCAGTGCTGTGAACGAGAAAGTAGCAGCTGTACAGCAAAAATTACAAAAAGAGAGTTCTGCAGTGAACGAGAGAATGAAGAAAGAGATTTTAAGACTAGAACAGAAATTTGTATAACAGCTTTAACCATAAACAACGTGCTAGCTCAGCTTGGTTTGAACGCTCCGGCTTTTTCTGCTTTGAATAAAATTCCGGTCCAATTATTTCGTCCCGCAATTAAGCTGTAGCTATATGACGGGAAGTCATCATAGAATGTGTATAAAACGCAATTCCACATGATTTCCGAAGCAAATCAGTGGGATCCTGTCGCCAAAGCATTAAATGTGGTAACTCCTGTACGAGGAGAGGCAGCGGACATCCTACAGACCATGAAAAACGTTCGGATATTGACGCCTTAATTAATGCGCTGGAAATGAAGTTTAGTGAAACTTTCTTAAGAATTAATACCAACTGCAGATTAAGACGCGACAGTGGAAAGTTGGAGAGACCCTTCAGGAACTGGAAACTTACATTTGAAAGTAGAGATTCCTCACACGAATAACACAAGAGACATTCCTGTAAAGCGGGTTAACAAAGTTAACATTTACTGTGCTAGCTATAAAAGGAAATTAAAGACACACTACTGAAAGCTATGGCGGAACTGACGAAAAGAGTGGCGACGACAGAAGCATTCAAGGTGAAATGGAGTAATGGTAAAAGAAAGGCAAAATCTTGGAACCGTAATGAAGAACATCTGCGAAAACAATGGCATGCGCGTCTGATTTAAAATATAAAAATTATGTTGAAAGAGCAGCAGGGAAACTGTGTTTTTCAAACATTTTCTGTTCACGGCGGGATCAAGGGCTTTGCGTGCAAGGAAAAATAAACGGTCTTCCATCTCGTATGATAGTAGACACCGGAGCGAACGTGACTATTCTATGAACTAATATATATCGGCAGTTGAACGATCACCTACTGTATAACAGCTTCATTCCTAAATCTACAAACCGTGAATGGAGAGAAAATGCCAAAGCATGGAAAAATGCTGGTGCACATTACGTTTGCATCTTACATATATGAGTACATATACGTAATACATACGCACGTACAGCGCGTTTTTTATAAATTTATCAGCACATACAGTGGCTCCCAAAAGTGTTCGTACGCTTATGATTTTCATTGAAATAGGGCTCTATCCATTAATTAAAAGTAAACTTTCTGAATGAGATTTAAATAATAAGACCTATAATCTATTCGTAACAAAATTACATGAAATATTTTTTAAATATAGCGAAATTTTATTTTTGAGAAATTAATAATAAAAAAAATGACAAACATTTTATCTCACAAAAGTCTTCGTACACTGAAATATTTTTGGATAAAATCAAAATTAGAATTATCATTTTTTTTAAATTTTTGCATTGTGGTAGCATTTAAAAAATCTTTGCTTTAATTTTTTATTGTTTACTTCATAATATTCTATTTATTATTGAAAAATGGGTCGCAATTACAAATAGCATTCGAAAGTTGATAATTTTTCACCAAAGTAGTGGTAAATCAATTCGAAATACCGCTAAATTAGTCAATTTATCCCATTCTACAGTGCAGTATGTGATAAAACGCTTTAAAGAAGAAAATCGGATTGAAAACAAGGTAAGAAAAGGTCGACCGAGAAAGTTAACTAAACGTGATGACAGATTTATTATTAGAAAATTTATGAAAAACCCACGTTTGAATGCTGTAAAAGTTTCTGCAGAATTTAATGCAAAGTTTTCTACTTCAATTTCATCTGAAACTGTTCGACGAGTTCTCAGAGAAGCTGGATTAGATGGGCGTTCTGCCCCTTAAAAATATTTTTGTTAGCGAGAAAAAACAGAAAGCTTAGGCTTTCATTCGCAAAATCAATGATAAATACACCCGAAATGTACTGGAATAACGTCCTATTTGCTGACGAAAGCAAATTTAACATTTTTGGTTCGGATGGTCGAATAACTGTATGGAGAAGAAAAAATGAGAAACTTCATTTTAACTTAGTTGGAACAGTTAAGCATGGCGATGGAGGTGTTCTTGTGTGGGGGTGCAACATCAGGACTAGGTAATTTGGTATTTACTGATGGCATAATGAATCATTCTCTTTATTTAAATAGTTTAAGAGATAATTTAAAATTATCAGTCGAAAATTTGGGTATTGGAGACAATTTTATTTTTAATCATGATAACGATCCTAAGCATACGGCGCTCAACGTTCGCCTGTGGTGTCTCTATAATTGTCCATAGATTTTGAAAACACCACCTCAGTCTTCAGAACCGCATAGAACACATTTGGAAAGAATTGGAGGTTAGAGTACGAAAACACGATATCAAAATGAAAAGCGAACTCAAAACAGTCATGATGGAAGAATGGATGAACATTGATACAGAAATTACAAAAAACTAGTAAAATCTTTTCCCAGACATTTAAAAGCTGTTGTGGATGCTAAAGGATATCCTACTAAATATTAATTTAACGAAAAATGAAAATATTTACTAATATGTCAAGATTTTTTTGAAGTGTACAAAGACTTTTGTGAGATAAAATGTTTACGTACGAAGGAAGTACGAGAGTTAGAAACACTCCGAAAAATACCATAGAAGCTCAGAGAAGCTAACTTAAGGCTCAGTCCTTCCAAATGTAAATTATTTCGTCAAGAAATTAGTTATGTTCATATTAACTGTGCCGAAGGTGTACGCACAGATCATGAGAAAATCAAAGCTTTTCGTGACTGTTGACGCCCTCAAGAAGTTTCCTTGGCGTCTGCACCTACTGCAGAATATTTATCAAAGGTTTTTCTGAAATTGCAAGGTCTTTGCACTACCTAACAGAAACTAGCCAAAATTTTTCGCAGACGTATGTGTGTGAAGAAGCATTTAAAACGCTGAAGAATGCTTTGACTGCCTCTTCTGTATTGGGTTATCTCCAACCAGAATACGACTAGATATAGACACCAGTCTAGATATAGTTGTCTAGATATATACACCAGTAATGAAGGCATGGAGCTGTTGTTTCACAAGAAATTAATGGCCAGGAATACGTCACTGCCTATTTTAGCAAAAGTCTCTCTAAATCAGAAAGAAATTACTGTGTCACCAAGAAAGAGCTATTAGCTGTCGTGAAGGCAGTAGAGCATTTCTGCCACTACCTTTATAGTCGGAAATTCCTCTGACGCGCCGACAATGCGTAATTAGATCGGTTGCTTGATTTTAAATTGTGGAAGTTAAAGTGGCTAGATAGTTACAATGTTTGCAGGAATATGACATGGAAATTCGACATAGCAAAGAATTTTGTATGGGAATGCCGATGCATTTTCAAGAAGACGTTGTATAGAAAAGGGCAAACACTGTTCGAAAGCCAAGTTAAAATGTGGCCATTTTGACATCAGAGACTAATCCCTGTATCAGCGAAGTACTGAGAAAGGCTCAAATAGAAGATCCTGAATTGAGGCCATTAATGAATTTATGGAAACAACGAACGAGAAATTCATCTGGCAAGAAATAGCATCCCTTAGTCCGACAACGAAAAGATACTGGACTTGTGGTATTCTCTCCACCTGCGAGATGGAAATGGTTCTTTACCGCAAATGGGAAGCTCAGGACGGAAAGAGTTTCAAATGGCAGCTTATTATACTAAGATCTAAAGTGCGTAGTGTCAGAGATGCACAGCAGCCCTACTGTAGGCCATTTTGATATAACGAAGACACTTCACAAAATTCGTGAACGTTTCTTCTGGGGCAAAGCCAAAGCAGATGTAGAAAAGTGGTGCAAAATCATGTGACGCATGTGGACCTCGGAAAGGCTAGCAAACATGTATCCAAGGAAGATTTCTACGTTATAATGGGGGAGCATCATTCGTTGGCTTGCTTCTAGGTCCTTTAAACCTCGTATAACTAAGGGTAACAAATATATTTTAGTTGTCATGTATTGCTTCAGTCGATGGCCTGAAGCTTGTGCCATTCCTGATCAAGAAGCTTCAACCGTTGCAAGTCTTAGTAGAAAAGTTGATTTCACGATTTGGAGTGCCTATCCTTATTCATTCTAACCAAGGAATAAAACTTCACATCTTCTATATTTAAAGGACTAGAGAATTCTAGGAATGAAAAAAAACTGAAACTACTCCATTACATTTACAGTAGAATGATATGGTGGAGAGATTCAGTCGAGCAATGTTGGACTATTTCTCTCGATGTATCCCAGACTGGGACCGAACACCGCCTTTATTCCTGTTACCTTGCAGGTGTTCCATTCATGAAAATACTGGATTTTTGCCATTGCAAATGATTTTTGGCTGTGATCTTCATCTGCCATGTGACCTACTCTCCGGACACGCCTTATTCGTATGAGTAGTAACTGGCAGATCTGCAGGAATCGTTAGATGTTCTTCGGTTCACAAGGAGAAGGATCAGCACAACCACCGAGAGGATGAAGACGAGATATGATGCCAAGTCGACGGAGAGGGACTTCAAGACAGGAGATAACGCCTGGCTCTACAACCCTATGTGTCGTCGCGGAATCTCTCCCACGCTACAGACATCGTGAGAAAGGCCTACCGTGTGATCAAGAAAATGAACGACGTAATGGTGCGTATACAAAGAACTTCTCCTTCTAAATCTAGAGTAGTGCACTACAGCAGACTTACGTCTTATTATGGTAATGAGAATTTGCTATCCCTGGTGTTGGGGATTGCACTGACTGGGACGTGCATTCCTTAAGAAGAGGGCGATGTTATGAATATTTGAAAATATTTTAAACCTCTTTATTGTTTTTTTGATTTTATGTATTTTTGTTATATTGTTTTACTTATTTATTGTTTTAAAGTGGTAATTTTGTGGGTTATTTTGGGTTTAATATAATTTGCGGTCACGTCTTGTATTTAAGTGTTTATGCTCTTGCATTGAATTATAGATCTTTTAATTTTCAATGCAACGGTTTTGGAATTGTAAAAATAGCTTAATTAGAGATATAGAAAATTTTGTTTCTGAACATACTTAAGGATTTCTCGTTAACTTGGCTACTTTTCAGAAGATTCATGAAAACACATTTTCGAATCCATACGATTGATTCTTCCAAAAGTTTCCAGAGCCTCTGCTCCAGAGTATACGGAAAGTCGGGTCGGAGAGCTGGGGAATTCATTTGTGAATCAATAGAGATTATATACTGTGAGACTTAGTAGTTTGCTGAATTGCGTGTTAGGGTTTACTCTGAGTGTGATTTCAGGAACTTTACAATTTATTTCGTATGTTCAGGAGCAATGGCTAAATATCTGCGTTCTCCGTGAGTTATTTCCAGCCGTTATTGTGTTGAGTGTACTATTATTTTGCTTATTTTCCTAATAAATTGTTTATTGTTTATTTCTTCCTGCTTATCTGGAGTCATTATTTAAAGGAACATCAACGATCCCATAGCGCATAATATTTTTTGCAACAACTGAAATAATTCTGCAGTACCTAAATATCCATATCTTCATGTTTTTCTTGGAAGTATGCTTATTGTGACCAAACTTACCATGACCAGAAAAATAACTAACAAACCATAGCACGCACTGCAATAGTATCTAAAATGAAGTTTTGAAAAAAATAAAGAAAGAAAAAGAGTTTAAAGAGAATTTTTGGAACAGCTTGACATTATCGAAGTAAACCATCTTTTACTACACTATACTATATTTTAGTACAAAGTTGTAAGAAATTATACTACTAAACACTTTATTAATGGCCATGGTTTTATGCTTAGAATCCCGAATAAATATTCTTGGAACGATAAAAATATTTATATTTTTATATAATATTTCATTCAGTTACATTCAGTTTTCCTGTGTTTATTTATTTGTTTGAAACAATAATTTACATTCTACTTCTGCCAGAATACTTAAATGAACTAGACAATGGCGTGGAGTGAGTTTTACCGAAGAGGACTAGGTACGAATAAAAATTAAATCCCTTCTAAGACAACCGCGTACGGATGGCAGCGGTGATCGTTTTAGAGAGGTGAAATTCAGCACCAGTGTTTATTTATGTTTCCAGAAATGTCTTGCTTTCGGAAGTGGTCCTCACGACAAAGTTTATTTATTGTATTCCGAATGCGAAGACTAATAATATTTAAAGGCTGATAAGTATGGTAATGGTTAATAACGCTTATGAAAAAGGGATAAAGAGAAATCAAAGTGATCATATTATAAATATATATATTTTTTTCTCATGCATTTTGTAATAAATAATTAATTAAAAACATTTTTTTTCTCAAACAGAATACGAAGTCAGCAAAACGGATTATTTTTTAGTTTTATTATTAATCAGTTTGAAATTATATTGTCACACGTGGCTTTATTGGAAAGATCAATCCAAACATATAAAATAGCTCAAAATATCATACAAAAACAATGATAAATAATAAAAAAGAACAAACATTAAAAGTAAGAGTCAGAATAAATGAACATGGGAACAAAAGTAAAAAGTTAAAAATTTAAACAGCTAGGAAAGGAACATAAGAGATGTAGTCTTTACACGGACTTCATGAAAGCTCTGACATTCCAGTATAGTTTACTTATCTCACCACGTTCTTGAGACTCTTTACCTAGTTCTGAGCATATAAGAAGATCCTCTGCATTCGTGATGCCCGAATTGAGAATTTGGCATAGACTAGATGGAAGGATGCCAATTTTATTAAGATGATGTACCGTTCAATCGTGGGCTGTTTACAGTCTGAAGTTTCGCACAGCCTCTTAACGGGGTTTTTGACAAAACGTTTTCCATGTGTCTTGAATGTTAGCCCAGGATTTGCCTGTAGATTTTGCTTCCAGATCAGATTTAAGAGTATACATTAATTTCCTCAAAATATGCTTTTTAAGTGACTCTGGAGGAAGTGGTTTGCTGTCTTGTGGTCAAGTGTACCTCTCTTGGCTAGTGAGTCTGCCTTTTCGTTACCTATATGTGAAGGGATCCATTGGAAAACGATTGTTGAGTTTATATAGAGAGTTCAAGGTTTGTCTTATTTCTTAGATAATTCTGGGTATCTGTGTCGATTTATAACTACAGCCTGAATGGCTGCTTTGGAATCAACTAGAATAACTGCTTTAGAGAAACAATCGATCTTTATTTTGAGGTTTTTCAGAGCCAGTGAGATTGCAAAGATCTCTGCATCAAAATTCAACATGAAGTGTTCCACAGGAATACATATGGAATAAAGTTGTTTACTGTATACACCAGCCCCAGTGTTGTCTTGCTTTTTAGAGCCATCAGTGTATACTCTAGTTTATTCAGGTTCAGGGTGTTGTTCATATAACATACCCTGATTGATTAAAATCAATCAGGGTGTGTTTGATTTTAATATTGCATCAGAAATGTTTTTATTTCTTAAGTCATTATTAATAATTGTATAAAATATTAACACACTAGCCTAGCCTCTCTAGTCCACTGAGAGAGAACCAGAATTAATATCTAGTCGCACCTGAAATCTAGACAGCCTTCTGCAAAATCTATCTAAAAGTTTCTGACTAATTTAAAATTTTATATTGGTATGTTCCTTTTCAAAACAAACAGCAACAGTTCACATAGTGCATTTATATTTATAAATGTATACTATTTCTTTTTATTTCCAGGTAAAACAAGGTCATCCATTAATAAGAAAAATTCTATACGGTCATTAAAGGTAATAAGATATGCTCTGCTCATTTTGATTCCCCAATATTTATTATAAGAAAATTTATATTTCATCTTTGTTATTTAAAATACTGTTGCATAAAATCAATGTATACTTACTAAAACAGATGTAAAAATTTGTTATAATATTATTTTTGACTAGAGTTTAAATTCGTTAACATTATATATATTATATTAATAAATTCTTAACATTATGCATTATTCAAATAATCTAAGCTGGGATTTGTTATTAAAAACCACGAAATTATGTGATGCTTTGTATCAATCTAAACATTCTAGAATTTTAATCCACAGGCATGTAATTACTTGTTTGAAAAAAAAGGGAAGAAAAAGATAAATCTTAGAAGACAGTACTGTAGCTATGGAACAGAACAAATAAACAAACATATAATTATTTAATATATATTAATTACTCTAAAAAAAGGCATATATTTATACACAAAACAAAATTATCTAAAAAATTTTTAATGATTCACCAAAATGTCTCCTGACACCATTGTAAGGCCATAAGCAGTGGAGGCTATAGGAGGCTTGCATAACTTTCCTTATTAAAATAGTGTCTTATTTGCCAGCTGCTTTTTTTTTTTTTTTTTTTTTTTTTTTTTTTTTTTTTTTTTTTTTTTGTTAATTATTTCAAGAAAAACTTATCTTGCATGTCATTATCTTACACTGACGAACATTAAACTTTGTATTAAAGCATGAAATAAAAAAATTTTATTTTGGAGATTTCATCGAGATTGTTTTAAGAGGAAAATTGCATAATGAAATTGCTAAGTAAGCAGTGTACTTTACAGTAAGTACTGTAAATAAAGTAAGCTAAACTCAGTATTGAGACTATATAAACAGTATGACTGAAGCTGAACAAGCTTTCAGTTTGATGAACAATATTCCTTTGAATGTATAACATATTTCATAGTTAATGACTATCTCCTTAAAAGGGAAAACCTTTAAAGAGAATTTAATCATAAATCTTATGCAAAAACTATTTTGAAAAATCATCACTTGGCGTTAAAAGTTTCTAAAACATCAATTGAGGTGAAAGAAGAAAATAATGTGTAGTAGCTTCTAGCATAAATTCTGCCACATATTTAAATTTACTTATTATGTAGTTTTTATACTTTATGAATTTTTTTAAGATTTTTTAAATTTAATTTTTTCCCCTATGTACAATTATTTATACTTTTTGTTTTTGTAAAAAGTAAAACATTTAACTAAAATCTGAAATTTGTTTTTACATTAAAGTGTTAATTTGTTAAAATCTTCATAGCTGACAAGGAAACGTCAGCCTGTGGCTTTAATCCTAGTCTTGAAAGCACTGGAAACATTTTATGAAGTTAAATGTTCAGTTTCTGTATGAAAACCTTTATATGCTTATTGATTTATTATTTTGATGCAGAACTTTTAGGTTTTTAACAACAAAAACTGATTTTTAATGTATGAATATAATGTCTTTATCAATATAAAATATTATTTATTTATAATAAATGACAATAAACAGCTCAAGTAACTAAAACAGTCAAAACTAGTCAAAAAATTATACTTTGTGAAGCAGATGTCCATTAAACATTTACTTTTCTCAAAAGAAAAATGAAATATCAACTTATGATTTTGGAAGAATTTAGGCAATTACGAGAATTTTAATATAAATTTCCATACTGTTTTTTGCACAAGTCTGTTCTCTAATTTTTAGAAATTTAATTTCTTGTTCAGTTGCTTATCTCACTAATAATATATGAAAATTCTTTATGTAAATTAATACCTACAACATTAGCAAATTAATTCCTGTTTGAAATATACATCACACTTCTATATTTTTTCCAGCAGTCTGAACTTTCTACTAAAGGAAAGAAATTGAAAAGTGGCAAAAATCCTTTTACATTTGGAGGAGGAGCAGGAAAAAAGCAACGAGCTCTGGATGACACTTGCCTGACAGTGGTAAGGGAAAAAAATCAATTCAATATTATTCTAAAAATACAATATAAACGTTGAAGTTTCATAATTCTATCACACTTTGCAAAGATAAACCTAATTAGCCATTAAACTGACCTGTTAATCCTTCCTGTACTTTACAATAATTCTCTTCTTTGTGAGCTTTAAATACAGGCAAGAGATAAAACTTTACTAAAAGGTTTAGTAAAAATTACATCTTGTAGCACCAATTTAACTAAACTTAGTATAAAAAAAACAATGTATGAAAACAATGTATGGTGGTGTCAAAAATGCAAAACAATATGAATTTTATAAACAACAGTAAATTAAGTAAGGGTCAAAAATCACTTACTTATTGTAGAATGACTAAAATATTCCCAAGGGATGCCATTATATGTTGGTTTATGCAATTTACAGATATTTCTCACACACCCTCAGTTATTTACATTCTGGTGTACAGAAAAGAAATCTTATGAATAGGGGAAAATTAATAGTATAAAAAACTGTATTAATGCAAAGAAAAGATATACTAAAAAAATCTAACAGAGAATGATGAATGAATCTAACAGGGAATATGAGAGATAGTACATTAGTTGAGAAAAAATGTTGATTTTATATAACCATCTTTTCCTGATCAGTCTTTTGGTTTCAAATGCAGATTATTTTTAAACTGTTTTTCACTTTACAAACTTCAAAATTACATGCATTCTTTTGCATTACAGAAATTCATTCCCACAGTTCTGCCCTAATGTTTATTTTCAGAAAATTTTGAAACTCCTAGATCATGGTCGTAAACATGCAATGTCAGTGCAATTTTTGAAGAAAAACTATTTTAGGCATGCAATTTAAGAAAATTTATCAATACTACATGAAATTTAAAAAATTAGGGATAATATCCTTAAATCTTACAAATCCCATAAAAATGATTAAAATTTAAAAATTTTGAAACTGCACATATTTTTCATAATTCAAATTTTTGAAATCCTAGCCCCAAAAATTATAATAGTAACACATTAAATATCACCTCCTGCCTTAATTTTTTGAAGAAAATCAAATTTGTTGTACTTATTTAAATTAACTTTTGAAATAGCCTTCCTCCTTACATTTGCTGTAATCGAAAAATATCCCATAGAAATGTCAAACAATTATCATACAAACATATTTTCTCTCACTATGAGAAAAGAAACAAGATTCAAGAATTTTAATTTACATAACTATCTCATTAAATTCCATCTGTATCTTCTGAATAAGTGTAGGTATATCTTTAAAAACTATATACTTAAATTTATTTCTCACTAAACACATATTTTTCAAATCCAGCTTTAAATAAAAAAAATTTAATTAAACTTTTTCATTCTTGTTTTATTAATTCTTGTATGGATTCAAGATTTGAAAATCAACAACTTGTCCCACCTCTAAGTAAAATTTAGTTACTGTTCATACTAAACTTCATTGAAAATCGGAAGCTATGATCAGTATATGTTTTAGAAATATATCTTTATATATAAAACTAGTACAGCTTAACAGGTATACTTAGTTTCCTTTCTATTTGAGCAGTATATAGTTTTTTTATTTAATAATTACAGTTACTGCTATAAATAACTAAATATTCCTAAAATTTGGTTGAATTTTGTTTAGTATATTTATTTTTTAGTTTGTTAAGTAGATTTTTGTTTCCTAGAATTAATTTTAATTAAATACTACATAGTTTGATTACTTAATAAATTCAAAACTAAATGTTCCTAGAATTTCTCAAACTGTTCTATGATACTAAAATCTGCTTATCTTCTCAGGAACCAGTTCGAACTACAGTTGCTCTACGAGGTCATGATTTTACAGGGCTTGGTTTCAACATATGTGGGAATATGAGAGATGGTATTTTAGTGAAAGATGTTTTACATAGAGGACCAGCTAGTGAATCTGGTCTCATTAAAGCAGGTATGAAGCATCTGCATGCAGTTTTTTATTTACATAAGTATACAGAGATTTCAAACTAATTACAACATAATATAGAAATTATATTGTAATTAGTCTTCATTCTTCTGTATGCGTGACAATTCAATGATAATGAGAGCACTATGTGAAACATCTAAAACAGAATATAGTACCTTCCAAGCATTCACTTTTTTTTTTAGCTCAAATTTACCATTACTTTCAGAAATTAGTACAAAATTGAAAAAATAAATGCTATTTAAAGGAAGGAATTGTTTATAAATTATGTTTATGAAAATCAATTTCATGCTTTTTAGAAGGTTAAAATGAAATGGAAATTTTATTGGAATTATGCATATATATTCTTATAAAAAATTTTAAGAACAAACATTTAGTTGGATACTTATGTCATTATTAGTCACTACGCTACAAGAGAATGACATAATACATACTATCATACATTATTAACTTTAAAAACAAATATTACTTTCCCTAAATCTGTTGTTGTGTGTTAAAAAGGCTGAATATAGCATTATTAAACTGAAATATACAGCGTGTTTCAAAAAGAATATACATATTTCGAATGCTTATATTTATTAAACTGTTTGACATACGAATATGAAACTTTACACACATATGTACGAACCTCTCAAGTTCAGATTACAGATGTTCAATGTTCAATATGTCTTTCATCAGCGACGCGAACAATATCACATCGATACTCAAATTCCTTCCATACTCAGGCAAGCATGTTATGTTATAACAGCACGGATCTGGTTCTTCACCTTTTCCAGGTTCTGTGGGAGTGGTGGTACATAAACATTGTCTTTAATGAAACTACACAGGAAGAAGTCACAGAGTGTCAAATCCTGTGACCGTAGAGGCCAGCTGAGGCATGCTAAGTCGCCAGCTCGGTAGAGTTTCATTCAGATAATCACGCACTTGGCGACACCAGTGAGGGGGTACCCTGTCTTGTTGAAAAATGAAGTTGTCTTTGTGCAGCCTCGGAAACAACCAGTTTCATAACATAGCGAGATACTGCTGACTGTTAACCACGTTTCCATCAAAGAAGAATGCACCATAAACAGATGATTGGGATATCGCACAAAACACATTGATTTTGGACGAATCTCGTACATGTTCAGTGGCTGCATGTTGGTTCTGTAGGCCCCAAATTCGAACATTGTGTTTGTTTATATGACCACTAACATAAAAATTCGCTTCATCACTGAAAATGATGCGTTGTGCGAATGTGTTATCATTGTCAATAGCATCAATAATGTCTTTACGAAATGCCACACGTTTGCGTTTTTCATCAGGACGCAGAGCCTGTAAGGTTGCTATCACACGGAGGTTTGTTTTGGAAGAACAACTGTTTGGAACAATTTTTCTGCTTTGTCACAACAGCCAATCACCATAGATCGTTTTGGGGTTAACACAGGGGAAACTGATTCCTCATTACAAAAAAGCTGATAGCATTCGAAGCTGATAGCTGATTGGTTGAAAACGAACAACTTGCAATTTTTTTGGAAAGGAAGGAAAAAGTCGCTCGTCTTTCTTTCAATAGTAAACTAGTGAAAAAAAATTGTCTGAAACAGTTGTGCGAGTGAAACAAACGTTGTGTGATACGGGCCTAACAAATGTAACTTGTACAGCTTCATAACCAACCAACGTCTCAAAACACGCCAAATTGTTGTTGTAGGCAATTGTAACTCCCGACTGGCACGACGAGTTGATTTTGAAGGACTAAAGCAGTTTGAATTCATGCAACATTTTCGTCAGGAGCACGAGGGGGCCAGGGTTCTTTGCTTTATGTACACATCCTGTACAGTAAAAAGTGTTTAATCCGGACTCGTCGGGACTTCGGCGATTCCGCATTATAGATCATCAATTTAAATCTGGTAAGATGGCATACAGAAATGACAAAATTTAAAATATGAAATAAAGAACAATTATGATCTAAAGGGTATCAAAATTTACAAAAAAAGAAAAAAAAAAAAAAAAAAAAAAGCTTAATATTTATTTGTCTACTTTATTAAACATTTCTTTCAATGTAAGTTGTTTAAGTTGCTTCATTTTTTGTGTTAAAACTTTCTTTTTAATTCTATAAACAGACATACTTTCTTGTTCAGTTACAAAATTTCACTGTTCAAGTCCTGTAATTGCTGTGTCGAGAATACTGACTGACTTGTAAATTGAAATTTTTTCGTTTTCAATAACCTCTCTGTCACTTTCTTCACTATCAGAAGCGGTATGTCATATACTTTTGACTTTCCAATGTCATACTTCTCGCATAATTCTGAGACGGATATGCATTTATCCATTTTTTGCAGCAATTCCACTTTTTGTTTGATGGACATCAAAACATGCTTTCGCTCCTTTGGCAGCTCCAGAATCGGAAACTCTTTTTGACATAATCGAAAGTTCAAGCCTACTTTTTATAAAACTGCTCTAACAGTCTGCAAAAAATAATAATTCGGATCGAATTAGAGGATTAAGGGACAGCGCAATCTGCAACATTAACTGAAATAGATAATTAGGTAATTTTAGCCTAGCTTATACCATCCGTTATACATTAAATGCACATGCATAAATGCATATGCGCATGCATAAAGGTATTATGCACATGCATAAATGCATATGCACGTGCATAAACACATTATGCGTTTACGCATGCGCAGAGAGTTTGTAGCTTTGAGGTCCGAATTATGGACGTCTGGATTAAAGACTTTGTACTGTATTTAGAAACTGTCAATACCATCTGCGACCCATTTGAAGTATCACTTTGGTACCTCAACTTGAAACGTCTTTGCTCTGTAATCAAGGAATTGCACTTCGCAAACTCGAGAACACAAAATGGTTTCTGCTGTAGAGTAGCCATTTTAAACATGTAACGGTTACCACGCAAAACAGAAGACAACTGACATCTAGTGGCTACTAATATAAAATACACTGGTGTGCAAAAATTAAGAACGAAGTCAAAAAATTAGCATATCAGCTGAACGAAGAGGCAGAGCGGACAGAAAGACCAATCAGGAGATTAAGTAAGGTGATGTACGGTAGCACATGTGCAGATATGCAGGTCGACGTAATGGGGGAGTGTCTGAGTAGTATAAAGCATGTTGTCGGTGTAAGATTAGTATTTCTGGCAAAGAGATTGCACGCCGTATAGCAGTTAAAATCACACCGAGTTGCTGCCTCAACGAGAAATGGCGAATAATCAATCTGTTAAATGACATCTGGATGCTTTTACCCGAGGTCGAATCATTGGGAAGTTGGAGGAAGCCTGCAGTGTGACAAGTGTGGCTGCAGAATTCGGAATTGCTCACAGCATCGTTTCACGACTTTGGAGACAATTTCAAACTACAGGAACAGCTATTCGGGGGTTTAGTAGTGGTCGTCCACGAGGAACCACACCCGCAGATAACCGGTATATTGCCTTACAGGCCAGAAGAAACAGGAGGCAGACAGCCGGAGAAATAGACACACGACACAGGCGATTGGACGACCAATATTGCGCTTTACCGTGGCCAGAAGACTGCATGGTGGTGGTCTGTTTGCACGACGCCCTGTACGATGTGTACCTCTAACGCCTGCCCATCAGAAAAGGCATTCTCTGTGGTGCCGGGAACACCGGAATTGGAGAGGCAATGAATGGGGACGAGTACTCTTTACAGATGAGAGCAGATTCAGTCTGAGTAGCGATTCTCATCGCATACTCATCTGGAGAGAGCGGGAAAGCCGCAATCATCCCTTGAACATCATTGAAAGGGACAGGTATGGAGATGGCGGTGTTCTCGTTTGGGGAGGCATCATGCTTTGTAGTCGTACAGACCTTCACATCTTCGACGCAGGTTCAGTCAACGGGACCTGTTATTGTAACGAGATTCTTCTTCCATATGTGCGTCTTTTTAGAGGCGCTATGGGTCCGCAGTTCCTTTTCATGGACGACAATGCACCATGTCATCGCACAGTAGCTGCCGAACAGCTCTTAGAGAGTGAGGATATTGAACGTATGGATTGCCCGGCACGATCTCCGGATCTCAATCCCATCGAGCATGTATGGGATTTTCTAGGCAGACGCTTGGCCGCTCGTACCTTACCATCAGTAATGATTCCGGAGCTTCGATTGGCGCTGCAAGACGAATGGGCAGCAATGCCTCAACAACTCATTGACACCCTCATTCTCAGCATGGACAGAGACGCTGTGAAACCTGCCTAGCAGTCAGGGGAGATCATATCCCCTATTAAAGACCGGATGTTTCTTGCTGGACACACATCACAGGGATGTTTCGGCCTTCAGTTGCATTGTGCTCCATGCTACTTTTTCAATAAAGCTTCTTTTTATCCCTCTGATTTCTCTTTTAGTAAGTGTTGCTTACATTACTCATGTACTTACGTATTGGGGATCTTACGGTATTAAATGTGTTGATTTGGAAAGCTTTTGTACAAAGTTATATTGAAAAACCGTCTTGTCCTTAATTTTTGCACACCAGTGTATGTATTTTTTTCCACCAATAGCCAAGCCGAGGTGCAGTTATCGATAGTTTGGTCAAAATAACACTTTGTAATACGTATATTATTTTTGAAACACACTGTATATTGCATTTTAAATTGAAAATCTAGAGTTTGCGTGGTTTCAATTGTAAAATTAATAATCCCCAATTTACATCAAGAAGTGTATGTCTGGATGTGTAGGAGTCAATAGAATGCATTCTATTGAATTAAAATGTTATAAGTTACTTTCTCCCTCCTTCCAGCATGTCTTTATGGTGTAACAGTAGCACAATCAGCACATATTTTGAGAGGTCTAGGTTCAAATCCTGGGAAGGGCACTGGTAATTTTTCACATCTTCTGCTTCAAAATAACCTAATTACACTACAGTGGCGCCTGAACTAAAAAAGGTTGGCGGGCAATAATTCACAACCAACAGGGTTTAGCGATTGGGTCCCCTAATACCCAGTCACCCTTTATAAAAGGGAGTGCATAAGATATCTTCTCCCTC